GGAGGAGTTGGAGGAGGAGGAGGAGGAGGAGGAGGAGGAGGAGGAGGAGGAGGAGGAGGAGGAGGAGGAGGAGCTATCCTAAAGGGCACCGGGACCACCTGCTTACGCTCCTGGTTAGTGGTGACTGCAGTAAGGGCTGAGGGTGCAGAGGGTGCAAAGGGCATTGTGCCGACAGGGGGCGCAGTCCCGGGGATTCTCTCTCCTGCCTGAGCAGTCGTTATCAGGCACCTAGTCCCAACTGGCTTCTCATTCTGTGGGTCAGAAATTTGGAAAGAGCCCATCTGGATGATTAGACTCTTCCCCGCGGCGATTCCTGGGTAATGAGTGACCGGAGGCTCCACTCCCAAGACTCTGGTGTCCTCCTCGAGATGGCGCCTCAATGCTCCCATCCCATCCCTTCCTCTGCGCCTCATCTTCCAAGACCTCTCGGAACATGGCTACCTCTCGGTAATTTTCCTCTGCCACAGCAACCTGCTACTCCCAGGACAGGTTAGTGGTTATTACAAGCATTTTCTTCAAATCCAAACTGTTGTTTGAGTTCCCCTTAGTATTATAATAAGTAACCACAGGACCTAAATGAAATATATTCAAAGCAGATAGATTTCACTTCACTTTTTTTTTTTTAAGTTACTTTTATAAGAGAATGAATGATACAGTTTTTCTAGAGCTGTCAAAATGTCCAATCAAAAAAAGTTTCCCAGGGGCTGGAGAGACAGCTCAGAGGTTAAGGGCACTGGCTGCTCTTCCAAAGGCCCTGCATTCAATTCCCAGCAACCACGTGGTGGCTCACAACCATCTATAATGAGATCTGGTGCCCTCTGCTGGCCTGAAGGCATATGTGCAGGCAGAACAACCGTATACATAATAAATAAATCTTAAAAAAAAAAAAAAAGTTTCCGTTTCTAACACAATGCCATGGTGCTTTCTGGTGGCCTGGCTTTGCTAGGATAGAATTTTCCAAATGTGATAGAATGGATGGAGACATGGTCCGGTGGGGAAGGGCAGTCGGTGCCAGATGACCTGAGTTCGGTGCCTGGGACCCACACGGTGAAGGGAGAGAACTAACTCTTGCAAGTTGTCCCTTGTCTGACACATGTATTCATACATGCACACACATGCACAACAAATAAACATATAATTAGTTAAAAGTTGAATTACTAGGAAACATAGCTTTGGAGTCAGGAGATGCAGACTAAGCTACCAGCCCAGCCTCCTACGTCTGATAAGCCTCTGAAAACAGTAGAGAAAGAAAGAAAAGCTATGAGGCCGGCCCTAACTGACCAGCTGAACTTTCTGTTTCCTCAGCTACTCCCATCTACCTGCTTCCCTCACACAGCAACGTGACTGCAAGCAACCACAGCTGTCTGAAAAGTCACAGTACCCAGGAAATGCTTTTGACACAGTGGAATTCCACAGAAAGAATGGCTCTTATTTCTCTGGGCTGCCTTAGAAGGCTGAGGCCTAAAGCTCAGAACACCCACAGGATGTACTAGCCCTCACTTTCATTCTGTTCTTCTGTCCGTTTTCTGTCCTGCTGTCCGCTCTCAAAGGAGAGCTCCAAAATGTTTGAGAGGCAGAAGGAAGGG